TATAACTGCAGGCCTGACACTATTAATATCTTTTTTTTAAAAAAAAAAAGCAGATCAAAAAGACCAAATCATCTCCTCACCAGAAATCAATGCCCAGGTGAGCAGAGATTACCACCAAGATTAACATTAGATCAACAATCAAGAAGCAAACAATACCCCAATCAAGGAACTGCCGAAGAAGCTAACAGCAAACAACAAACCACCAACCCTAACAGAGCACGCCACTAGAATATAAAATGAGAGCAAACCTCATTCCCTATTAGCACTGATGATGTTACCTAGTTTGGTCATGAAACATCTGCAAGAAAACAGAGAGCACCCAGGACTCACAGTTCAACCCTGAGCTACAAATTATCTCTCCTAAAAAACAGATCATCCCAGTGTTATGAGTGTATTCTGTGATCTAATTATCATTATGAAATTTATTTTTGTTGTTCTTGTACTTAAAAAAAAGTACATTAAATCTCTCTTGATATGAGCTTGACTCCTAGTGATTTCTTGCCAGCAAGACACAATCCTGTTTCTGTTGCCAAGGGAGGTGGGACTTTATTCAACATCCCATCTTCTCTACAGCTTTCGTGTTTCCTGGCAGTCTCTTATTGGTTCTCTTTTTTTAAAAAAAATGTATAGTTTTATTAAAGTTTGCAATTGCAATAGTAAAAACTAATACAAACTAAGAAAAGGGATGAAAAATAGAAAGAAAGAGTAAACAATGCAAAGGAAAAAGACAAAACTGTAGAGACGGGCTGCAAGAATGACATGGGAAAAGATGTCTCATTGGACGTACAAAAAAAAAGAGATGCTATGGAAACTCTCTACTCCTCAGAGCATCTCTCCAAGAATGTTGCTCAGCAACTACGGTAGTTACAACTGCATCTCCCAATGAAAGGGAAATAAAGCATTATGTTACTCACATGCTGCAGTGCAAAAGAGTTGGGTATTTCTCTTCAAGGAAGGAAGCCTGCAGGATGAGGAATCAGTGACTGGAGCTACAGAAGCCCAAGGAACTGATGCGAGTCAGATAAGCAAGTCCTGCTACTAAAACATAACCAGAGGGAGAATTCCTACAAATATGCCCTGGCAACATATTTTTGTTGTTGCTCTGTTCTCATGACACTTCCTTGCCTTCATCTCATGGCTCATGAATGAGTAAGGTTAAGGTATCCTGAGGTATTCTCCATATTTCATCACCATTTGTGGCTGCCTCAAGGGATGGGAAAATGTCTTATTCTTCACTATCCAGCATAAACAGAGAGCCACACCCTGGTTGTTTCAGGCTGGTGTGGTCTTCTGTAATCGACAGTTACCTGTTGCCTTTCTACATAGCCAGCCCCAGAATGCGGCCGCGCGAGTGATCGTGGGCGCACCGCGGTTCGCCCACATAACACCTATCCTCCGCGAGCTGCGCTGGCTACCT